CCATGGGGCGGAGGGGAACCTCATGGGGGCTGCTTCATCTTTTGTCCAAGCCCTTTCTTAGGCTCCAACTGCTACTTAAGCATAAGGTCCCAGGGTCTCCACCATCCTCTCGCCTCCCCTTTGATCTTCTTGTCCTCCGAGGTGACCCCATCCACACCCTCGACCACTCCTGTGTGGCTCTGTCCGGCCCAGACCTCCCTCCTGAGTTCCAACCCTCGGAGAGGTCAGCATCTTTATCAGATATCTTTCTTTGGGGTGCAGGCTCACAGGGGACATGCTGAGTTTGAGGTGTCTCTGTCATCAGGATGATGTCCTATGGGCTGCAGGACACTTGGGCCTGGGACTCGGGGGCCCGGGAGGGGAGTCAGAAGACAGTGGGGGAGGTACCTCAGGCAGTTTGAGAAGAAGAAGGATGCATCAAGAACCGTTACAACCATGACCTACGAGTGAAGTCATTGTCCCCCGGAGTCAGGAACTCCTGGCCATGGTGGCTGTTTATCTAAGGGGCCTGGGAGCAAAGGAATTCTCCAGGCCCTCGCCTCTGTCCTGGCACGAGAGGGCCCTTTGGCTGAGCAGGCTGGGCCTGAGGCGACTAGAGGGGACTTCCTCGGGGGCGGGTGGACTTGGCTTCTCCGCAAAAGCTCCCATCTGAATGCTGTTTGCACGGTGGTTGAGCACACAAGCAGTGAGGCCACAAGGAGAGCTCCCTGTGCCTCCGTCTATTTGCAAGAATACCTGCACCGTGACCATTCCGCAGCTGATGTGTGTGACGTGCTTAGCGGAATCCCCGGCCAACTGTAAGTGCTCAATACATATTAGCCGTCATGATCGTTATTCTTTGTGTTAGCGCCATAAACTTGTCCTACATGCCATCCTACCTGGCCCAGTCTGGGGACAAGGAGATAGGACACAATTCGCACCCTCAATGAGTTCACCATTTAATGCGAGTTAGACAAATGGATAATTAGTGATATCATGGCATGAAAACTCTATCATGGAGAGAGCTCCAACTTGGGGGGCCAGGGAAAGGATGGGAAGGCTTTGTGGAGGTGGTGACATTGGTGCCTGGCCTGGAAGGATGAGAGGAGGAGGGGAGAGGGCAGCCCGTGACATTGTAGGCGCACCAGCCCCAAGGCTGGGCGCCAGGCAGGAAGGAGGTATCTGGAGCCAGGGGGTGTGCGTGTGTCCTGGGGGACACCTGGGTGGCTGTTGGCCCCAGATGCTCGTGGTCTCACCTTTGACCAAGCCAGCAGGAACCCAGCCCAGCTGGCAACACCCCTGCTGTGATATCAGGCTGACTCCATGCATGGACGGAGGGCACGGCCCCCATCCGTCCTGCCCTGCGGGAGGAGGAAGCAGCTCGCCCTGGGCAACATCCAGGCAGGCATCCTCTGCATGTCACCTGTCCGCACTGGCTGCAGCCACCCCAGCGGGGCACGGGCGGGACCAGACAGGTGCCCTCTGTAACCTGATGCTTGCTGCGTCAGCCCCAGCTTCTGGGCCCACTCCTCAGGGAGCTCCAGACAGCCTGGGGTCACACTGACCTCTTCCTGCTGGCTTCCAGGCCTCCCTGCAGCGCCCCCCGCCCCCCACGCCCCGTGAGGTCCTGTGCAACCACCACCTGGGAAGAGATGGCTGCCACAGGCCTGGGGTCCGGCTGGACCAGGGGTCCCTGGACCCAGGCAGGGTGGCACAGCCCCTGCTCGCTCACCAACACTCCTCTCCGCTGGCAACCAGCCTTGTTGGGGAACCAGTCCTGAAATGCAGGCCACTGGCGAAGGACTTCCTCCTTCCTGATAACCAGGAGTCCAGCCTTCCCCTCCTCACACCAGAACCAGCAGGAGCCTCACCGGTACAAGGCCCAGACATGGATGAGATGCAAAATGATGGAGTGATAAAGCACCCAGGCTGTGGAGTTAGGCTGCCTGGAGTGAGACCCAGCTCTGCAGCTTCCCAGCTGTGTTACCTTGCATAAGTAACTTAACCTTTCTGTGCCGTGGTTTCTTCATCCATGAGATGGGATCATCGTATTTGTTTAATGTGCTAATCCAGGGCATGGTAGGTTTTTTTTTGGGTAAAGGGCCAGAGTAACTATTTTAGGCTTTCCTGCCTTAAAGTCTCTCTTACAGCTATTCAGCTCTGCTTTGTAGCACAAATGCAGCCGTGAAGGATATGTAAATGACATAAATGAGGTGGCTGTGTCTCAATACAACTTTATTCATGGACACTGACGTTGGAACCTCCTTGAGTTTTCATGAGTCACAAAATATTTTCTCCTTTTGATATTTTGAACCATTGAAAAGTGTGTGTGTCGGGGGGGATCCGGTTCTTAGGTCACAGGCAGAAACAGGATTTGGCCTGAGGGTCCTCATGGGCAGTCCCCTCACCAATCTCTGTAAGTGATTAGGACACCCAGCGCTGTTTGGGAGCTGACACTGAACACCCAATCTGCACTTAGCTATGGTCCTGTTGGTGGCGTGAATATGGGAGGAAGTGAGTTGTCTGCAGTGGTTGGCTCGTTGGTGAGGGGCAGAACGTTGGTGATGTCTGCACAGGAGAAACAGCAGCTGATCAGAAAGCCTTTATGCCTAAGGCTACCCCTGGACAGCCATGTCCAGCGCTGCCCTCTAGCTGGCTCCTCTGTGCTTGGGGAAAGGGGCCCAGGGCACAGGCTTAGCAGCCCCATCCCCAGAGTGAGTGTCTCCTATCACATCCCAGGGTCCCCCCCCACACCCCACTGCACCCTTCCCCCCTGCACGCTCCCAGGACCTGGGGCCAGCTCCTGCCTGAGGAGACCTTGACCCAGTGCCAATGAGAAGAAGTTCATTCACAAACAGCCCCAGGCCTCGGGCGTCCTCCTGACTGGCACCAGGCAGAGCCAGCTGCCTGCTCCGTGCCTAAGGGCACATCCTTGAGCCCCAGCCCGGCTGGAGGCTTTGGAGTCTTTCTCTCTCAAGTTCTGACGAAGAACTCACTTCACTTGTGGCCTTTGTCCAGGTCACCACCGTTTCCTCAGCCCCCATCTCTCCGCAGGTGATGTGCTAAGGGCTTGGGGCTGCAGGACCTACGTCACCCCAGGTGGCTATGAGTGTGGCTGGGCAGGGTCCAACAGGTCCCCTGCACACGTCCAGGCCCCTATCTTGTTGTTCAAAACAGACTTTTAGTTGATGTCTCTGAGAAGCACAGTGGGGATGTCCTCTGTGTGCAGGAGACAGGGCCCACGTTCTCAGGCCGTGGCTGGTGGTCCTGGCGATAGCTTTCTTCCCCATCTGCCTCAGGACTCAGCCGGCACTTGCGTGTCTGTGAGCTGGTTGGAGAAGGCCCTTTCCAAGCGCAAGGTGTTATACCTGGGGGGTGGTGTGCCGGGCACCTGGGCCTCTAGGGCTTGCGGCAAGCGCAGAGCGGAGGTGAAGGTGGGCAGGTCATCGTCCATGTCCAGGACTGGGTTGTCCCGGCCCTGAGGGGTGCGGGGAGCCTCTGGGCAGGGGGGCGCCTGCCTCCGGGACCACCACTTCTTGGTTTTCTGCCACTGGCGACGGGCGATGATAGAGAGGGAGTCGATGAAGAAGACCTCAATGATCTCAATGACACAGACGATGGAACAGCTCATCCACAGGCCCAGCTGGCCGCCGAAGTTGGACAGAAGAACCTCAACCTGCGAGAGAGGCCAAGCCATCAAGAGGGGCTCTCCCCTCCAAGTGGGCCTCATGCGGGGACCCCCGATTCCCCAGGGAGCTAGCTCCAGCCTTGAACAGGTTTGGAGGGAGCAGAGGTTANCCCCCCATGACGCCCATGGCCTAGCCCCCGGAACCTGTGAGAGTTACCTGCTAGGGCAGGCCCGGAGGCTTTGCAGATGTGGCTGAGCTAAGGCTCTCGAGATGGGGACATTATCCTGGATTATCTGTGTGGGCCCTTAAACACGATCACAAGTGTCATAGAAAGAAGGCAGAGGGAGGTTTGGCTGCATCCAAAGACGCCATCAACATGACAACTGGAACACAATATTAGTCAGTTGGCTTTGAAGGTGGCAGAAGGGGCTGGGAACCAGGAGGTACAGTTTCTGGAGCTGGACCAGGCAAGGACATGGCTTGTCCCCAATGTCCCCTGGGGAAAGGAGCACAGCCCACTGACATTGACTTTAGCCCCGAAGACTCTTCAAAGCTCTGGCCCCAGTACTGTAAGAGAATGCGTTTCTGTGATTTTGAACCTCTAAGTTTGTGGTAATTTGTTACAGCATCCATAGGAAACGAATGCTGTGCTCAATACACAGTTGTGGGGTGAATAAACACGTGTGGAACCAGTGACCAAAGGAGAGCAGGAGGTGACAGAAAACAAAGGTTGTGAGAACACAGCAATACAGTTAAACTCGGCTCCATAGCCGGGGAGCGGCTGGCTCAGAGGCAGCTCTCTCTCTCTCTTGGTTAGAAAAGAGCTTAGCATGAGCTGGAGAGAGTTTGAGACCCGGGCACCAAACTGGGATTTGATGTCCTCACCCGCTGCAGGATAGAATGGTTTTCTTATTCTGTCAGTTGGTGATACTTAGGCTCCAATGTGCTGGGGCAGGGGAGGGGGCCAAGCAGAGTTTTAGAGATGGCGGTGTTTGAACCTGGCCTTGCAGGGTGAGTGGGGATAGGGGAGGGCAGCGTTCGGCATAGCAGAGAAGTTGGTGCGCCACCTAAAGTTAGCATCGCAGGGTAAGTCCCGTGACTTGGGACATGGAGCCACCAGAGGCTTTGAAGCAGGATGCCTGGGGTCTGGCTGGCCTTGTGGAGACATCTTCTAGGGTAACCTGTTGTAGTGATCAGGGAAGCAGAGCTGGGGGACAGGGAGAGCCATGGGGCGGAGGGGAACCTCATGGGGGCTGCTTCATCTTTTGTCCAAGCCCTTTCTTAGGCTCCAACTGCTACTTAAGCATAAGGTCCCAGGG